TAAGCAAGCTCAAAGCCCTGGGTTCAATCCTCAGATGGAGAAAAAGGGAAAGGAATAAAACAAACAAAAAGCCTGAGGGACTATTTAACAAACGTTGTATCAGCAGACAAGAATATTTAATGTTCTCAGTCCAAGATGTTTTGAGGTTTTGATGTATTTGTAGCTCCATTTAACACTTGGTGAAGTTCTTTCTTGTGTGGTGTCATTAACCAGCACATTGTGAAACTCTGTTGCCCTTGCAAAGGGTTGCTTTTCCATGAGACCAGTCTGTCCCTCCTGCCTGCGTCACACCTGCTCTCACCCCAGATCGGCTACTGTGATGTTCCAGGGGGTTGCACAATCCCGAGCGGGGCCAGCATCAGAGAGGCCGTGCATTGCTGTGTTGGCTGTTTGGAACCCAAATACTTTGGGTTCACCCATGTATTCTGACAGCAGTGATCTATATTTCTAAGGGGTGAGGGTTCCTAAAGACTTAACCTTGGAATAAGTTTGCTTAGTAACTTTCTTGACTTCATGTCAACCAGGTGACTTTCTAGTCTGTTCTCTGAGCTATATTTTTTTCTGTGTCTTTCTTTTGGTGCCAATCCTGTGGTTTGCTATCAGGACCTTGGGGCACTAGGCCTGAGGTTTTTTGTTTTGTTTTGTGGCTAAAGGCTAGGAGCCGCAGTGACTTTTATTTAAAATATATTTTTATTTTTATTTAATTTAATTTATTTTTTTGGTTGGTTGTGGGGTCTGGACCCTGGGCCCAGGTGCTGTCCTTCAGCTCTTCAGCTCAAGGCAAGCACTCTACTACTTGAGCCACAGCACTACTTCCAGCTTTTTCTTCTTATGTGGTGCTAAGGAATCAAACCTAGGACCTCATGCATGCAAGGCAAGCACTCTACCACTGAGCCACCTTCCCATCCCCTTAAAATATATTTTTAAAATTATCTTTTGGGGCTGGGAATGTGGCTTAATGGTAGAGTGCTTGCCTAGTATGCATGAAGGCCTGGGTTCAATTCCTCAGCACTACATAAACAGAAAAAACTGGAAGTGGTGCTGTGGCTCAAGTGGTAGAGCAATAGTCTTGAGGACAAAGAAGCTTAGGGACAGAGTCCAATCCCTGAATTCAAGCCCCTGGACTTACCAAAAAAATTATGTTTTTAAGTAGTTGTACAAAGGAATTTCCATTTCGCCAAGCAGTTTATGAACACATCTTGATCAGTGCCACCCGTTTCATCATTCTACCCCATCCTTCCCAACCCCTCCCCTTCCCTCAATTGTCTTAATTTTGTAGGGTATTCATTGACGTTTATGACTGCTTTCCCCCTTCACCCTTCTATTCATCTGTCTACTCCCCTCTACCACTTCAAGCTTTTTTTTTCTTTAGTGGTTAATGAGAGATAAAAAGCTCATAGACTTTCCTTCCCTGACAACTGGCTTTGAACTTTGATCCTTTGATCTCAGCCTCTTGAGGAGCTAGGATTACAGGCATGAGCCACCAGTGAGTGCCAGGCTTGAGGCCCTGTATGTTAACATCATCTATGTATTTGTATTTCTCTCACCCTGTTTTTTTGAGCTCTTCATTTGCAGGCCCACTGTGCTAGGCATGGGGGTTTCCGTGTGCAAGCCAGCCAGAGGATAAAAGAATGAGGGTCTGTACTGTAAAGGTAACTTTGTAGATCAGGAGCTAACATTTTGAGCAAAAATCTTGATTTTTAGTTAATAGAGCGAATTGAAGCTGAAGGTGTGGGAAAAGTGAAGGAGAAAGGAAACAAGTGTGGCTTGGGAGTGTTGAGAATGGAAAATAGCCTATGGAGGACAGAAGGGGAAGAAGGGATTAAAGGCAGAAAAGACAAAGCATTAGGTTGGGGACTGCTGGCTTAGTGTCTGGAGGAGCAGCCACCAACCATCCGGTGATGGATTACTCCAGCAGCCCTATGGAGCAACAGCAACAGAGCTTCCTAAGAGCCAGCAAGGCAGCCATCCTTTGGCTAGAGTGTTAAAAAGGTTAAGTGATTCACTAAAGGTCATTTAGGGACTTCAGCATAGCATCCTGGCTTGAAGTCCAGAGTGCTTTCTAAGCTGTAACAGGAGATCCAGGGGTGTCCTTAATTATATTTCCTTTTGGTCTCTTTTTCCTCAGCAAAACCATTGGGGCAAGTGGCATTGCTAGGCTGTGGAATATCCTAGCTTGTTACAAGTCACTTTAGGCAAGCCATGCAAACTCTATAGCTTGTTTCTGTTCAATTATGTTCCAGAAATTCAAATTCTAATACCAATGACTGCCCTGTTTATTGAGTTCCCCGATAGATATCTTTGTAGCCACCACTGTGACCCAGGAGGTCTCTTGCTTTCAACATTAAGCACTAATACATGTCATGTCAAATACTAAGTCACTGATCCATGCCCACAATCATTGAGATTAATGGACAATAATGCAATGCCATGTCCTACAAGGCTGGAAATTTAGTTTTCTTTCCTCTTTCTCTCTTTCTTTCTTTCCTCCTCCTCCTCCTCCTCATTTCTTCTTTCTTGTCCCCCTCCTCCTCCCCTCTCCTCCTCCTTTTCCTTCTTTCCTTTTTTTTTTGTTGGTCATGGGGCTTGAACTCTGGGCCTGGGTGCTGTCCCTCAGCTCTTCAGCTCAAGGCAAGCGCTCTACCACTTGAGCCACAGCCCCACTTCCAGGTTTCTGAGTGGTTCATTGGAGAAAAGAGTTTCACTGACTTTCCTGCCCAGGCTAGCTTTGAATTGTGATCCTCAGATCTCAGCTTTCTGAGTAGCTAGGATTACAGGCGTGAGCCACCAGCGCTCGGCCTCCTCCTCCTCCTTTTCTTATTCTTTCTTCTTGTTCTTCTTCTCCTCTTCCTCTTCCTCCTCCTTCACCTTTTTCTTTATTGTCAGTTCAAGGCTTAAACTAAAAAAAATCTGGTGGCTGGCTGGTGCGCTACCACTTGAGTTCTACTTTATTTTGGGGGTGGGGTAGTTCTAGGGTCTGGGCATCAATCCTGAGCACCATTTAGGGCTAGCTCCACTTCCACCTTTTGCTGGTTAATTGGAGCTAAGAGTTTCACAGACTTTCCTGTCTGGTCTAACCTTGAACCTTGATCCTCAAATCTCAGCCTTCTGAGTAGCTAAGATTAAGGTATGAGCTACTGGCACCTGGTGTTCAGTCCCGCATTTTGCTGGTCAATTGGAAAATGAGTCTTAGCAAAATTAAGATTAATAGACTTTGTCAGAGAACCACGCAGACATCCAGGTACAGAGAACAAAGAAAGGTTTATTGCTGGGAAAGGGGGCCAGCAAGACTCGTTCTCACAAGGGAGGAATGAGAACAAAGCACCAGCTATTGTCTGGGGTGATCTATATAACTTAGGAGGTTTAGGAGGGGCTAGAAGGGACTAGGAGGTAGAGACCCTGGTGTGGACCTGTGGGCCAGGAGCTTCATCATGGCGGACTAGGGTTTATGGCTGCTATCCAAATAGTAGATAAGGGTCCTGCAACTGCCCAGACCTGAAGGTCACTCTAAGGGGCTCTTGTTGCCTTATATGATGGTAGCTGCCCCAGAGAAGTACCATCCCAAGGTAAAGAGGGTTGGAAGTTGGTTATTTACTGCCTTTACTAGATGGGCCTAGTGTTGCTTAGGAAGAGAGCATGCCAAGCTGTGGAGAGGGCAAGAAATGGACTAAGCTATGGGAAAGGACTCATTTTGCTAACAGAGTCTCTTGGACTTTTTTTCTTTTGCTCCAGCTGGCTTTGAACAGCCATCTGTACTCTATCTCCTCCAGGTAGCTGGAACTACAGGCTATTGGGTCATTCTTTGGAAGTGTAATTTCTTCAATTTATTTTTTATTAGTATTATTCATTGTAAAAGGGCTTTCATTGTGGTAGTTCTGTCCTGTCCAGGCTGGCTTTTAACTGCAATCCTCAGATCTCAGCCTCCTGAGTAGCTAGGATTACAGACGTGAGCCACCAGCGTCTGGCTCCCTTTTAGTCTTCTAGAGTTCAATGTTTCAAGGAAGAAAACACAAATGGTTGTGGTGGTGCACAGCGGGAATCCAGCACTCAGGAGGGAGGATTTGACGCTAAGGTTAACCTGGGCTGCATAGTTGGACTCTGTTTCCACCCCCAAAACACACAAAAGACAAGGCAGAAAATGAAAGGAAAGCAAGAAAGCCCGAGTCATTGGGCTGGGAAGCTGGCTCAGTGGTAAAGCGCTTGCCTTGCATGCCTGAGGCCCTGGGTTCGATTCCTCAGCACCACATAAGCAAAAAGAAAAAAAAAAAAAAGCTGGAAGTGGCGCTGTGGCTCAAGTGGTAGAGCGCTAGCCTTGAGCTGAAGAGCTGAGGGACAGTGCCCAGGCCCAGAGTTCAGGCCCCGCGACCGGACCCCCCCCCCCCCAAAAAAAAGAAAGCCCGAATCAAAGCAATGGGAAGGTAGTGCCTAATCTATCCCAAGATCCTTCCAGTTGAGCAGGTGGCTAGCTCAGAAGAAAAACTTACTCCGATGTACATTTTCAGCTTTGCAGAAATGCGCCGGAGAACCCCAGATAACATTTCATTCATCAGAAACTGAGACCGGAGAGGCTGAGTTGGATCTGCAGTTTTCATCAGGATATTTGCCAGAATGTCACTGGGGGTGGATTTCCTTGGGGGAGAAATATTGCTAATAATAATAATAACTGGCAATGTGCACACTAATTTTTCATCCAATTCTTCATATTTCATCCAATTTTTCATCATCTTCGTTTGCAATTTAGCATTAAACCACAGCCTCTCAGCCTCGGGTCCTCAGGGAGCCCCTGTAGCGACAGGGCACCAGTGAGTCCCGTCCAGGCGGTGCGCAGGGGCGCACGGGTCTAGCGAGCATCCCCAGCGCAGGAGCTCCGGGCCGCCGCGGCCGCGCGGGTCCCCGCCGACTTCCGCTTCCCGGGAGTGCGCTGGGCCGTGCGGGCTCCCGCCTCCAATCCCCGCCCCGAGGGGCGTCCCGGAACCGCGGGGCGGAGCCGAGGGCCGGCCGTGGCTGACCGTGTTAAGGGGGCCGCGCGGGCCGCGGAGTCCCAGGATCGTGGAGCAGGCGGCACAGCCCGTGCAGAGCACGGCCACGCCGACGTGGCGGTGAGCGGGGCGCGCGCGAAGAGGGAGGACGGGCGCGGGACGGGCTCCAGAGCTGGGCGGCCTGACCTTCCCGGGTGGCCCGGGAGGCGACCGGCACCACGCGTGCCAGGGGACCCGTGCGCAGCCAATGGCGCTGGCAGGGTCTCGCCGGAGCCCCTGGAGCTCCTGGGCCTCCTTCTTGCAGATCCTCCCTTTTGGACCACGTTGCCCTCTGCCCCGAGTCCTGTCGCCTGGCCAGGCGCCCGGCCGGGCTTATGAATGGGCGGCGCGCGGGCAGCGGGCGGCGGCAGGGTCGCGTGCGGGCAGCGACGGCGGGCGGAGGGTTGGTCGGCTACCGGGAGTCGCGCCTGGTCGGGCTGCTTGGGCGGGATTGCACCCCCTGATCTCTGCGTCCGGCCGAGGGGCTCCCAAGGCGATGGGCCAGCGCCGTCCAGCTGCGATTGTCCTAAGTGGAAAAGTGTGGGCCGCCTGCGCTTCTACCACCTGAGAAATTTGCTTCCCCCCAGGACCGAGGAGGAAATTGGGCTTAGCTTTGGTGTTCGTGTCCACCGAGTCGGACCCTGGGGTGGTTTGAAAAGTCAGGCCACGGCTCGCCGAAGAGATTCAGTGTCTCCATTCTTACAGCAAGCGCACACACTGGTTTAGATTCATGCTGACCACCAGCTCTTGGGTCCCGCAAGCCCCGCGTCTTTTCCAAGCCACAGCAATGCCCGGCTCTCGTGTCATTTTGTACGACTTCTGAGTTTGTTTAGTATCTGTGGCCGTTTTCTATACTTATCATTCTTAGAGGTTTATCTAAGGACCCACGTTAGATAGTCTTGTCTGTGTATTTGCCTCCTTTTCTCCCCCCCCCCCCCTCCCTAAAATGCAGGGTTGAATGGTTTGGGTGTGTTTTTTGGCCAGCTTGGTAAACCCTGGAATTAGGTATGCATTTGAACGTACAGGTTTAAAAGACTTAAAAACTTGCCAAGTTAATAATTTCTCTCTCTCTGTCTCTCGGTTTCTCTCTGTCTCCCTGTCTCTGTTGCTCTCTCCCTCCTCCTCTCTTAACTCCTTCCTTCCACCTACGGGTTGCATTCCTTTGGGAAAAAAAACTGGTCTCCATTTTGGAGTTTGTTCATTGGCAAAGTGCAAAAAGTGACTGAAAACCTTGGCTAGCATTATTTTCTATTTGGGACAATGTGTTTGAAAGGACCTTGCCCTTCATCTCTGATCTGTGCCAAAGTTTGCAATAAGATAGGGAATGAAATTTGTCCCTTGTTATTAGAAATCACTCCATTGTTTGAATGAAAACTGCATAAAATTGGTTGCTGAATTGGTTATTTTAATCCTATGTGTTAAAACATTGCCTATTTTTCTTTCGATTCAGTATTTATGAAGTTCATGTCTCACCAGTAGTTGATTTTTGTCTAACTTTAGAGAATAGTTTATAATAGCTTTCCCAAACTCTGTGGGCTACAACTCAAAAATACCAAATCAAGACTCAACTGGAGAGAAGCTTAGGAAACACTGAAAAAGTGTCCTCAGGTGATTCTCAAGCAAATGGAGAACTTAATGACCCAGGTGTTAATGCTTCAAGTGTGGTTGGAGGGCCTGCATTATCAACCTCACCTAGGAACCTTAAGCCTGGTAGCTTCCTGGTCCCACCTGAGGCCTGCTAAATCAGAATTGGCTTTGTACCCTGACCACTGGCGAACCTGCTTGTTTACTGCTGGGAAAAGCTGGGGTGGATGGAGGGTCTTGCTCTGAGAATGCATGATATATCAGTCCCATGAGTTTTGTTTTTGTTTTGTGTGTGTGTGTGTGTGTGTGGTTTTTGTCAGAGAGCAGGCACTCTCAATAGGTTTGAGTGACTCTGCAGGGGTTTTGATCCCCGGGTCAAGACTTCTTGCATGCACTTCTCCAAACTTATGGGGCTCCCAGCACAGGCTGCTATTTTCAGGCTCTGAAAAACTAGTCTGTTGTGGTTTGGGATGTCTGTGGTGGCCTTCTTACCTGATATTCATTTGTAAGGTTTTCCTAAAGGTTTGTCAAATTACCGGTGAGGGCTGAAGCAATGAAATTCAGGGAAGGATTTTATTTTTGAGCTGGGGGGGGGTGAACTTTTTATGGAGCAGTACATCACTCAGCTACATTGATACCCCAAGTCCAATTCCTTAGGAGCCTTCTTCTCAGTCCCCAGAAATTCAGGTTCAGTAACTGCAACAAGCACAGAAAATGTGTGCTGCAGAGATTGGGCTAATGATAGGCTCTTGCCTCCTCCCAGGAATATCGGTGCCTGTTCTGAGTTCCAGAAAGTTGTCTCCCGCAAATGCCAGTGGCACCATGAAGTCCAATCCTGCCATCCAAGCTGCCATTGACCTCACCGCAGGAGCCGCAGGTAATCCCAGAGCAAACTGCTCTCTGTGTTCTTCAAGCTTTTCAGCGGGACTGAAAGAAAGTGGTTTAAGAGTGGTCCTGTTGTCATGTCAGGTGATACCACAAACCCTTGGAATGAATCCACTTAATGGCAATTTGAAATTGTTCAGAACATGACAGTAGGTAGAATAATATCTGTTACATTAAAACTTGCAGCAGTCAGGGTAAAGAGAACTACTGGAAAATGGCTCAGAGATGAAGTCATGTTTACTGCCACCTGGCTAAGATATGCAGTGACACTGGACTTCTACCCTAAACTTGACAGTCTTCAGATCCTTTGTCATACAAAAATAACAGTGGGCCACCTCTTAGTAGCCCTGCCTTTAGTGGTGCTGGGAAGGAAAGAGGGTCCCCTTTAGAAGGAAGACTGATCCTCCACTTGTCTTACAGTCAGGAAAGAAAAGAAGAGGTAATAGATCTTGTTGGGACTTACTGAGCTACTCAGGCTGACCTTTAGAGCCTGAGCCCAAGGGCAGGCTGAAGCCAGCACTAGCCACATGCAGCCAACAGTTTAGAATGATCACTTTTAAGATGCAGGCACAGTGGGAAGTTGAGTCTGGGACAAAACTGGGTTGTCTCCCATGTCATTTTGTTTTATTAGTCTTCTTTTACCTCAGGGGCAAAGGGTGTGTTTGTTGCTCAATGCTCTCTTATCCAAATGGTACTTCCTGGCTCAGCAAAGCAAGTGTGATGGGGGGGGGGGAGGGGGGGGAGGGAGGGGAAGAAAGAAAGGTGGGCACCATCTCTCAAACTGTCCTTTGCCCAGTTGTATTAAAAAAAAAATCCTTGTTCAGAGAAGAGCAAAGTTTTTTCCCATGAACCAAAGGTTGGCCAAAGCAGGCTAGTGAGAAAGCTTCAGACAGCATATTTCAGATACTATAAAGATCCCAGCGTAAGCATACCTCTCCAGATTAGAGACCATAGGCAGCTGTTCCAGACCAGTGAGCAGGCCTGACAGCTGGCTGCATTGCACCCAGAGGGCTCTAGTCGACTATGTACCTTTTGGACAGACCCCTACACTCTATGGAGAACTATAATTCCCCAGGCACCCTGGGAACCACCTCTCCCCTTCCCTATTGCTACCCTTGAGGACACTGTGAGAATGGCACAATTTCCCACCCTCCTCTGGCTTCCTACTAGCGGTCTGGGGAATGTTCTGGGTACAATTCTCATCTCTGTAGTAGGAGCATTTGTAACATGGAAGAGATTTTCAACTTGGGCATTTTATGTCCTTCTGTCAGTCAGTGGAAGATCTATCTGTTGTGATCAACTTATAAGGCTTATACCTTTTTCTGTTTATATTCATTCAGGAATTTGTATAAGTAAAATCTGTTTTAAATGTAAATTGCAACATATTTACCTTGAGTTAAGCCTGGTATGTATATATTTAACAATGATAATACCATGTTTCAAACCTTTTACATATTGATACTTTGTATTCCTGCAGCCTCTGGGGAAGGTATTTCTTTCCTGAGCTTAGCAACACAGGTTTGCCCCTGCCTAGGACAAGCTCCTGGCAGGCACAGCGACTCATACCTCACTAGTGACAAAGGGCTTTCATCCTAGTGTGGATGACCTACAGTACAAAAGGAAGCAGCAGTCCTACTTTTTTTGGGGGGGGGTGGAGGAGGGTGGGACTGGTCCTGAGGCTTGAACTTAGGGCCTGGCCACTGTCCCTGAGCCTCTTTGTGCTCAAGGTTAGCACTCTAGCGCTTGAGCCACAATGCCACTTCTGGCTTTTTCTGAGTAGTTTTTTGGAGATGAGAGTCTCACGGACTTTCTTGCCCAGGCTGGTTTTGAACTGTGATTCTCAGATCTCAGCCTCCAAAGTCGCTAGAATTACAGGTGTGAGCACTGGTGTCTGGCTTTGGAACTGTGTCTTTTTTTTTTTTTTTTTTTAGTGTGTGTGTTGGCAGGGAGGGGAGTGTGTTTTAAAATTTAAACAAAGATCTCCTGCCAGGCAGGTTTTTCTATCCAGTTTACGTCTTCTAAAGTGCCAAGAAGTTGTCATTGTCCCTGTCTGCTTGCTGCAGAAGTTCTAGGAAAGGATCCTGGGAGGCTAAAAAGGGGAATTTAAAGCAGATAGTTGGGTAGTTATTGAAATGAGATATCAGGGATCCTCAAAAGTGAATGACCTGAAACACGTCTGGGTAGTACTTTAAGAGCCAGTAGTTTAACAATTCCAGTGTTGTAGCAGAGCAGCTATCTGGCCACTGTGTGCTGTGCCTTCTTAGGTCCCATAGTTGGGAGATGGGGTATTTTGAGTCATTGAAACTTAGCCTCTTAAATGTCTAAATGGAAAACAACTAAAAAAAAAAATCCTTTTGGATGTGTGTGTGCCCATAAATGGGGCTTGAACTCAGAGCTTGGGCGCTGTCCCTTAGCTTTTTTGTGCAAGGATGGCACTCTTTCACTTGAGCCACAGCCCCACTTCTAGTTCGTGTTTATTTTGTATTATTTTTTTGGCGGTAAGAGTATCATGGACTCTTCTGCCTGAGCTGGCTCATACTGTAATCCTTAGATCTCAGCCTCCTGAGTAGCTAGGATTGCAGGAATTGGCCACCAGTGCCTGGCTTTCAAAAACCTTTTGTGACGGGACTGTCTTAAGAACTGTATGTTCCACTGCCCCTTTGAGCTGGGCTGTTATTGGTTGGGTATTTTGAAGTTCCCTCGTCTGACCGCCCTGTGAGCTATCCTTTCTTCCACTCATGATGCCCCTGCTGACAGATGGCTTCAGTGCTTTGTGATTTGATTTGCTGCTTGTGTTGAAGATTAACAATCTGAATGCTACTGTGTTCGTTGGACTTTCTGTCACTGTGACAAATACCTGAGCAAAACTACTTAAGGAAGGAAGGGTTTATTCTGCTCATTGTAGGTACTTCTCAATCCTGTTGAGTAAATCTTAGTCTGACCTGCTCTGAATGCTGCAGAATATTAACCGTTAGAGTTCAAGTTAAAGAGGTTTCCGGCAGGGGTCAGCTCTGTTCTCTGTGGGATGAAGTAGCCAGGCCCCTCCCTTTACCTGGTGTCTGAACCACGGTTGCTTTTCTGATTGCAGGCCAGCTGAGCAGGCATGAGGTCAGGGAGTTTCTCCCTCACCCTGTGTGTGGCTCCTGTCACTCCCAGACATTAGCTACACTGTTGTAACCACTTGGGTGGGAGGCGTGTGCCAAGTCCTGCCACCGCTAACTTTAGTGCTACCCTATGAGGTGGGCATGGGGGAGAGACAGAGATTCCAAGGTGCATCCCCTGCCTAGGACCTCATGGTCCCTGGGATTGCCACCCCTTGGTAGCCTGAGGCTGGGACTGTAGAACACAGGTGGGAGCTTCTAGGGCTGGGTACAGTAGGAAGTTATTTACTGGACTCAGCTAGAAGGTTTGGGGAGAAAAGGAGCCAGAAGGAAGGGAAAAAGATAAGCCTCTAGGGCTGGCCACATGTCCTTCATGCCCATGGATCACGGAGAAAGCTGCAGACTCATGCTTCAGAATTGCCCTGCTTCCAGGGGGAACAGCATGTGTACTGACCGGACAGCCCTTTGACACAATGAAGGTGAAGATGCAGACGTTCCCTGACCTGTATCGGGGCCTCACTGACTGCTGCCTGAAGACCTACTCCCAGGTGGGCCTCCGTGGTTTCTACAAGGGCACCAGCCCGGCGCTGATCGCCAACATAGCCGAGAACTCGGTGCTCTTCATGTGCTATGGCTTCTGCCAGCAGGTGGTGCGGAAAGTGGTTGGATTGGACAGGCAGGCGAAGCTGAGGTGAGTTGGGCACTGGTGTTCTGTTGTTGGTTTTGTTTTTAAACTAGTGCTCCTGCATGGTCACAATTTTAATGATACATACTGGGAAGAAAGTTTCCTTTTTCAAAACAACTGTCTCTGTGATTCTGATGTCACACACTATTCATGCATTGAGCAAAGGAGGCCTGACCACAGCCCACCATCAAAAGGAGCCACTGAATAGTTCCATCTTTTCAAAAGGATGCTTGCTTACTTCTCTCTCTCTCTCTCTCTCTCTCTCTCTCTCTCTCTCTCTCTCACACACACACACACACACACACACACACTTTTGCTTTCTTGCTTTCTTTCTTCTGGTCCTAGGGCTTGAACTCTGGGGCCTAGACACTGTCCTTGAGCTTTTGTGCTCAAGGCTAGCACACTACAGTTTGAGCCACAGCTCTACTTCCAGATAAGAGTCTGATGGGGGGCTGAGAAGGTGGCTCAGTGGTAGAGTGCTTGCTTCGAATGCATGAGGCCCTGGGATCAATTCCTCAGCACTACATAAGCAGAAAAAGCCAGAAGTGGTGCTATGGCTCAAGTGGTAGAGTGCTAGCCTTGAGCTAAGAGCTGAGGGACAGCGCCCAGGCCCAGAGTTTAGGCCCTATGAATGGCCAAAAGAGAGAGAGTGAGAGAGAGAGAGTCTGATGGACTTTTCCTGCCCGGGCTGGCTTCAAACTGAGATCTTCAGATCTCAACCCCACTGGTCCCTGGCAAGCATGCTTTTCATATGCACATAAGTGCTGGACTAAAATTGTGGAAGCATTTTAGGCTCCCCTCCATCATTAAAATTCAGAGTGTTGGAAGAAGTTGCCTGGGCCAAGTGGATTTGAAGAGAAAACATGAAACATGAGCAAGAGTTGGAAACTGGGACTGAGTTTTGCTCCAATATTTGTGTGGTCTTCCTTAAGGTATTTATTATGCCTTTGGCTCATGTGTGGTCTTCCTTAAGGTATTTATTATCTGTATATAGAGAATTTGGAAACCATTGGATGGATAGCCATCTTTCTTTGAACATTGATTTTTTTTTATGGTCTAGTATTGGGGCTTGAACTCAGGGCCGCACACTGGTTTTTGTTGTTTGTTCTTTTCTTTTTCCTCCCCGCCTTGCCTCTCCTCTCCTCCCCTCTCCTCTCCTCTCCTCTTCCTTTCTTTTTTTTCCAGGCCTGGGGCTTGAAACTCAGGGCACTGTCTCTGAGCTTCTTTTACTCTACCACTTAAGCCACAGTGCTACGTCTGGCTTTTTTCTGTGTATGTGGTACTAAGGAGTTGAACCCAGGGTTTCATGCATGCTAGGTAAGCACTCTACCCCTAAGCTACATTCTCAGCCCCTGTTTTCTTTTTTGTTCTCAAAGCTGACACTCTACTACATAAACCACAGCTCTAGTAACATCAATTTATTTGAAATGATTTAAAATGCTTATATCTGCTCTGTGCCTGCAAAAGGCAGTCTTGTTGGTTGTCCCAATAGGAATTGGAAGGCCAATGCAACTTGTAAGCCATCAGATTAAGGATGGTTCCTTGTGGACAGACGTGTTTTCTGGTGATGCTAGGGGGGGTCAGCCAGGCCCTTTTCATAGACCACGATTCTTTCATGATTGATGGAACTTGGCTTTAATGGATGGGATGGTCCTAGGAGATGGTGGAGGAGAGAGGAAGGTTGAGCACTGATCCTACATACAGCCTCCAACACAGAGTGGGCAAGAGAGAGACATGAAGCAGAGGCAGAAGTGGAAGCAAACCAGGAGAGAAGACGGGAGACCACAGTGCCTCACAGGGGAGACTGAACAGATGCAGAGTGATAAGTAGCCTCAGCCTTCTCTCCAGCTCAGGGGGGACATTCTGCCTGAGGGGCCTGGATTCTTGTTCTCCCTCAGCCTCCTGGTGAAGTACACAGGGGAGAAGCCAGGGATGTGGGATGGGCACCTGTGTGAGGTTCTGGGGGAAGAACCCTGCACATCCCACGGAACAAGGCTGCACCCCCCACCCTGCCCCTGGCCATGGGACAGGACTGTGATTTTGCCTTCTGATGGGGATAAAGCTGTGAGGGAAGGGCCTCCCTGTTCCCCTATTCCCCCCCTCCGCCCCCCCCTGCGGAGACCAGGGTGAGAGCAACACACTTCTGGACTTCTGGTAGAAGATGAATGAATGAACGACACAAAGCCTTCCAGCTCCTTTTCCCCAAACTGTCTCCAGAAGCCTGAGTCAGGGTCAGTGAGAAAGGTTAGGGAATGATTTATTGTATCTCTCCTCTGGGGCACTGAAGATGTTTATTTCAAATAGAACAAATGACATTTAGGTCTGAAGAGATCTTCCAGCTAAGTTCTCCCATAAGGACACCAGCCTGTTTGGCATAGTCTAACACAATGCTAGAATCTTCTCTGAGCTTGGACACCTTTCCTGTTCGCATGCCAAAGAATAGCAGTTGCCTGTAACTATTGGGAAAGTGGTACCTAGAGTCTTGACCAAGCTCTCTGCCTTACAGATGGGGACTTGGCCCATGTGTTCTGAGCCCCTCCCACCAGTCTCCCTTGTTAGGTCAAGTCAGGGCTCTGTAACTCATGAAGCACTGAGAAGGGATCTACTGTGGAAGCCTGCTGTGGACTTCTGCAGTCACATTGTAAATATTTGCCTGTTCCTGGTTTGAGCATGACCTCTGACTGGGTAGGGTCTTACGCAGCCAGAGCATTTAGGTCATGCTTTTTGTTGAGCAGATCGATCATACAGTGGACTCTTACAGAACCCTCCTATATCTGTGCGCTTTCAGTTCCAGCTCTATACACTTAGACAACACATAGGACTCACAAGGCCCATGTGCCTCCTTTTTACACTGGTAGGTGAAAGTATTTGTTAGAAAGATAAAGTCCATGGCCAATCTGACTTGGCGCTATTTCTGCACTCTAATAAGGTGTCCTGTGTGTGTTCAGACACCTGAGCCACCAGGCATTGGAGACTGGATCTACTCCCACATTTATTGACTGCTGCCTTTGTTCCAGAAAACTTGGCAAATGCTTCACAATGATCCCAACTGATGGTTACCTGTCAGCAGCTTGACAGTGTCCCAGAGTAACATCAAAGACGGATTTGCAGGCTGTCTGAAAGACAGCAAAAACCATTTTAAGCTTTGTTGTTGTTTTTTTTTTCACAATCAAGCTAAGGAGAGATGTGAGGAGGAAGGAGTGGACTGAGCAGCACACAAGTTTCTCTACACCTGAAGGCTGTGTGTCAAAGACACTTATGTCCCTGGCTGGCTCTCCTTTGTCTGATCTTGACTCTGAGGTGTGCGGAAGTCTCCACTGCAAGCAGTGGCCACCTCCTCAAAGCAAGCCCCACTCCCAGCCAGCACTTCTGACACCCACTGTGTCCACAGCAGCTCCCCGCACCATCTGCAATCACTTGCAGATATGAGGCAGAGACAAGACCTCAGGAAATCAGAACTCAGATCTGTCCTTTGGGCAAGCTTTGATTTCACATTAACATTCACCCTGGCGAAACTTCAGGGCATTGAGTGTGGTACGTTGGTTTGTATTTTTGCTTGCTGTTTGGAGAAACATTATTAGGGATTCTCAGGGCTTTTGGCCATCTGGGAGGGTTTCTAAAACAGCAGGAGGCTAATGCTTAATGGGTTAGCAGGGGAACCAATTCAAACTTTCCTAGTGCTAGCAGAGCTGCAGGTAAACACTGATTCAAGAACTGTTCAGACATTTCCTCCTTTTTCTTGAACTCATACTAGATTCTAGTTTCACAACTCTGCTGCTGGTGTGTGTAGATGGTGTTATAGCCATATGAGAGGAGGAGAATGCTTCTGGTTTTGTTATTTGTGTGCATTTATCCTGTTAGGATCTCCTTCCGATTTCTAGCTTGGCTCTTCCATGTAAAACCACTGCGTGTGCAGAGGTGTACTGGCTCTACCCACCTCTGAGGCCCCACTCTCCCCTCTCTTGCTTCCTTTGTGGCGAGCTGTTTTCCTCTATTTTATGTTATTATAAGAGGAGATCTGGGTGTTCAGGGTAATGTATAAAGAAAAGAGCTTTACTTGGCTCTCAGTTCTTGAGACTCGAGAGTGTGGCCAGCTCTGTCATCAGGACGTGGTGCATGGTGTCCTGGTGAGTGTGTGAGAGGGGAAGATTACGTGGCATGACAGAAAGTCAGAGATTCAGAGACGAGGCTAGCTCTGTTGATAAAAATCATGTGAGGACTAACCAGAATCCTGTGAGAGCCACATGAATCCCTTCTGAGGGTGTCAGTGCTCCCAGCCATGCAACCACCTTCCATGGCACCACCCCCTCCCGCGAAGGTCCCAGCCTTGTTGCTTCACAGTGCAGGTTGGACCTCCAGCCTGTGGGCCTTTTGGAGACACTCAAGCCCTAGCAGGAGGCTGTCCACCGAATTAAAAAGTCTTTTTGCAGTGTAAGGAATTCTAGTTAGAAATTGATACTGGGCTTTCATTGGGTTGGTTTACATCACCTTGGATTGGGGTAGGAAGGGATAGCCTCAGAACTTTATTTATGGTTTAGTGCCATATACACTGAAGTGTTAGCAATGTTTTGGGTAATGGGACTACGGGTAGTATTTTCCCCCTCCATGTGTTTTCTGTGATCTTTTGGCTTCATGCATCACTGTTAAAACAGAATACTAAAAATTGGGCAGCTTGAGTAACAATCATTTCTCATAATTCTCAAGGCTGGGGAGTCTAAAATCAAGATACTCACAGACTTGATGTCTGGCAAAGGCTTGCTTCTGGTTTTATAGACATGCCTTGGACTATGTCCTCCTGGTTAGTCATGGGGTTTGAACTCTGGGCCTGGGTGCTCCCTCAGCTCTTTAGCTCAAGGCTATTGCTCTACCGCTTGAGCCATAGTGCCACTTCTGGTTTTCTAGTGGTTTATTGGAGATAAGAGTCTCATGGACTTTCCTGCCTGGGCTGGCTTTGAACCATGAAATCCTCAGATCTCAGCCTCCTGAGTAGCTAGAATTACAGGTGTAAGCCACCAGTGCCTGGCTTCTGGTCCCTTCTTATAAGGACACAAATCCCACGATGACTCTCCCATGCTTATGACCTAATCTAAACCCCGATTGGCTCTTAAGGACCTGTTCTCCAACTATATCACACAAGAACTTAAGCTTTTCAATATATGAGTTTGGGAGCAGGAATAAGCCTCTAGTTTATGGCTGTGTGCTAGAACTCCTGGCCAGCATGCACAAGAGCCTGGGCTCTGGCGCTAGCACTGATAAACACAACACACACACACACACACACACACACACACATATGAACAAACTCAACATGGATGTTATAGGGCAGACCTGGGTTTGACTTCTAGCACTACCACTAAGTAGCTGTGTGAGTTTAGCATGTTATATGGCATCTCTAAGCATCCTGTCCTCATGTGGAGACTGGGATATTGTCATCTCACAGAGTCATGGGTCTCTGGATGGGACGACATGTGCAAGTCTCCCTTCCTGTAAGATGAGAGCTGCAGGAGGGGCCTGATGGCCATCTGCCTTCTCTGCTTTCAGTGATCTGCAGAATGCGGCCGCCGGGTCCTTTGCCTCTGCCTTTGCTGCCTTGGTGCTCTGCCCTACAGAACTCGTGAAGTGCCGGCTCCAGACCATGTTTGAGATGGAGACATCGGGAAAGATAGCCAAAAGCCAGAAGTAAGCTCTGAATGTTGAGGCCCTGATGCTTGGTCTCTCTTGCCTCAGTGTATGGAGTGATGTTTCATTTTATATAGTGTTGTCAAAATTGGATTTATCTACTCCCAAGTGCTGTTTTCCAGTATACTTTCCCCTAATCGTCAGAGGATAGTTTCCTGAAAGGATTGATCCCACCACCCCACCCTGTAGGAGGTCTTAGGCAGAAATGGTGAAACTAGAAGCCGAATAATTTGCTTTTGTCCTTGGGTGCAAAAGGCTTGATCTTCATCCATATTTGGGAGGGGACCTAGCAGGCAGCTTTGAACCAAATCTGAGAGCTGAGCTTGCTTTTGTTCTGATTTGGACTGTGAATGCCCATTCTCAGGTTTCACATGAGTGTTCATGCTAATCCTTGAGATCCTAATAGAGACTTCCCAACCTCTGCAGCCCTCCAAATGTACCACAAAGGGCTCAGGCTCTGCACACACTCATTATTTCTGTTGGCAGGTTGACCAATTTCAGCGATCTGTCTGCTCCTTACAGTGCCCTATTTTCTACAGCTTTCAGTTCATTCCAACCAACTTGAATCTATTATTTCTTGTCTGGAAGCTCAAGCCTGTAAGGCTTGAGAACTTTCTGTTGTTGAACTATAGCACACAGTAGTGTAAATACATGCATGTATTCTGGGTTCTATAAACATCCATGAAGTAAAGTCATGAATGTAACCAGTATCCAGATTAAGTAGTAGAAAATCAATAGCACTGAAAAAGCTATCCTCATGTGCCCTGAAAATTGTTTACAATAATTTAAAGATAGTTAATGATTATGTCCAGTGGATTTAGGCAGATAAACACCTTGTAAAGAAGTATTGCGGGGCTGGGAAGGTGGCTCAGTGGTAGAGCGCTTGCCTTGCCTGCCTGAGTCCCTGGGTTCGATTCCTCAGTACCACATAAGCAAAAAGAAAAAAGCCAGAAGTGGCGCTGTGGCTCAAGTGGTAGAGCGCTAGCCTTGAGATGAAGAGCTAAGGGACAGTGCCCAGACCCAGAGTTCAGGCCCCACGACTAGACCAAAACAAAATGAAACAAAACAAACAAACAAGCAAAAAGAAGTATTGCTTTTGTGCTTGGGGTATAACAGTGTACAGAAGATGTGTGTGGATGGCAGACTAACTGTGCAAGGTAGATTACTTCTGCACACTGCACAAGGAAAGGAAGTAGTGGACGGGCCTGGCCAGCAGGGAATGTCTGATGGAGCTCTTGGGAGCTAGCTCTCAGAAGGAAGATGTTTGGTGTGCTCATTTTTGTCAGCTTAGGGCTTGCCTGTCCTAACTCTTTCTCACGGTGTCCCTCCCAGTACAGTTTGGTCTGTGGTGAAGAGCATCCTTAAGAAAGATGGTCCCTTGGGCTTCTACCATGGCCTTTCAAGCACTCTACTTCGAGAAGTACCAGGCTATTTCTTCTTCTTTGGTGGTTATGAACTAAGCCGGTCAGGTTTTGCATCGGGAAGATCAAAAGATGAATTAGGTAACTATGTGTGCGTTGACAGAATTTTGGTCTGATGATCTCTGCTTCCTGTGGGTGTGGTTTCTGCAGTCATCTGATCTGTGCACTCCTTTGTGATCCCCACGAAGGCTTTTGATGCCAGAAGCTTCCCAACAGTAGGTGACTGCGAGGACCCTCTCCTAAGGGGCATGACGTTCCTCAGGACAGGAACTGAATCAGTGTCTCCCAGACTGTTTCAACAGTGTTGTTCTTTTAAGGAAGAATAAATGCAGGGATTATTTTCTCCATGTAGAAATCAGTAAGATGATGAAAAAGCCTGTAAATGAATCTTGGTAGTGGAATTGGAGGCATGGATCAAATGGTAACACCTTAACCATGAGCAAAAAAGCCAAGCAGAAGTGAAGGCCTTGAGTTCAAGCCTCAGTGTGTACACACACACACACACACACACACACACACACACACGCACACGCACACGCACACACCTCCCACTAATCAAATCAAGCTTGGCAATGTCTTGGTAGCAGTGAAGAACACAGTGAAGAGTTCTAACTTATCCTATTAAACTGCTGGGCACAACTGTGTGCTTGACACTATGTGTCAAAAATTAACATGTTTTTCTTTGTAAACGATTTATATTGTTGTTATAAAGGTGCTGTACAGAGAGATTACAGTTACAATAAGGCAAGATATGTTTCTTTTTGGACAATGTCACAGCTTCCCTTGCTGTCTCCCAGTTTTTCCCTCCATTCCCACCTACAAGTTGTACAGTTTGTTTACAACATAGTGTCTAGTGAGTATCTGCTGCATTTGTGAGTTGGTTTTTCTTAAGCATCTCATTTCAGTGAATTGATATAAACTGTGGTTGGTCAGGCTCCTAGACCTAACTAATATATTTAGTAAGATACTTTCTTTTTTTTTTTGTTTTTTTGGTCCGGTCGTGGCACCTGAACTCTGGGCCTGGACACTGTCCCTCAGCTCTTCAGCTCAAGGCTAGCACCCTACCATTTGAGCCACAGCGCCACTTCCAGTTTTTTTTCTTTTTTGCTTATGTGGTGCTGAAGAATCGAACCCAGGGCCTCATGCATGCAAGGCAAGTGCTCTACCACTGAGCCACCTTCCCAGCCCAACATACTTTCTTAAATGAAAAAAAAAAAATGGAGTTGTTGGGTATTAAAATACAGTCACAAGAGGAGTTGGGTATTTGTTGCTGACACTTGTAATCCTAGCTACTCAAGAGGCTGAGATCTGAGGATTACAGTCCAAAGCCAGCATGAAAGTCTTTGGGACTCTTATCTTCATTAACTACTCAGAAAAAAAAAAAGCTACAAGTGGCTCTGTGGCTCAAGTGGTAGAGTGCTAGCCTTGAGAGAAACAAAATCGCAAGGAACAGTGCCCAGGTCCTGAGTTCAAGCCCCAGGACCAGCTCCCCAAAACAAAACAAAATCAAATATGAAAATAAGGGTGAGAAAGTTAAAAAATACATGGACTTGGCTGCAGAGGCCTGTCTTCTCATCACCCATCGATGAGACCTGCTGTTCTAGGTGGGCCAGCCCCCACTGAGGATAGGACCAGAGGTGTGGCCACACTACTTGTGACCCCAGCTTAACACAAGCCTTGCTAAGGTTTCCTGTCCTAGTGAGGCCAAGGACAGACCCAATGACCACATGGAACCTTGTGTCCTCCAAGAGTTTTCTTGAAGAATTGTATCCTCCAGCATTACTGTTCTCATTGCCTGTACCATTGCTCCACTGATCTCTGAAAATGACACTGAAGATCAACTCTTATTTGCTATTTTTCTCCTCTAGGCCCTGTGCCTTTGATGCTAAGTGGCGGAATTGGTGGAATTTGCCTATGGCTTGCTGTCTACCCAGTGGATTGTATCAAATCTAGAATTCAAGTGCTTTCCATGTCTGGAAAGCAGGCAGGGTTTGTTGGAACCTTTCTTAGTGTTTTGAAAACCGAAGGTGAGTTGTGCTGAGTGCAGAAACAGATTAGATGCACCCAGTCAATTGGTTCTTTTGTTGTTGTCCTGTCAACTAACCCCTAATGCCAGGGCAGGGACCTGGCATGATCTTTTGTTCTAAATAGCCTAAAAGGATTGTTGAGGATGTGGACTTCCTATGGTTTAAAGTTAGTATAGATCTATGCAAAGATGATGTGTAAGAGGATGAATAAGGGCTTTACAGAAATACAACATCCTTAGTGATGACATTTCTGAAGTCAGAAATAAGGAAGTAGCTTCTGAAGTGACTTGGGGGCAACTTTTAGAGTTAGGCAGGAGAATAATGACTTTAAGTGTTAACTTGTATAGTAACCAACTCCATGGAATCTGTGAAAACCTGTTCTGGCAACCATTATATATTTTAAAACTTGGGTTAAGTTGGGCACTGGTGGTTCACACCTGTAATCCTAGCTACTTGAGAGGCTGATATCTGAGGAGTGTAGTTCAAAGCCAGCCTGGGCAGGAAAGCTCAAGGGACTATTTCCAATTAACTAGCAAAGGGCAGAAAGTGGAACTGTAGTTGATAGAATGCTAGCTCTGAGCACAAAAACTCAGGGATAGCAACCAAGCCCTGGGTTCAAGCCTTAGTATTGGCATACACAGACACACAGACACACACATGAATTGTTTAATTCATGTCCCCTGTAGCACACAAACTCTATTTAATACTAGTAACCTCAACTTCCTTAAGTTTGCATGACACTTTATAGTTTTATAAGGTACGCATGCTTCCCTTATCCAATCCATCCTCAAAGCCTTCACTGTTGGTGCTCTTGCTGTCATCTATGGCTCCAGTTCCCTCCTTCTGGCCATAGCAGGCCTTCATGTTGCGCCATCCATTTCCCAGGAGTTAGCCAGGCATGGAAATAATCTGTTTTGCCCCTAGCATGAACCACCTTTGTGAGAAAGCCTGATCCTTGTCTTGTTTTGACTATTTTCCTTAGGGATACCTGGAAACAAATTCTTTCTTCACTTGTTGGGTTTTATAGCATATGACTATCCCTAAGAAGGGGATTGTCACAGTCTTTGATCACCATTTTGTCTCCTAGGAATAACAGCCTTATATTCTGGATTGAAACCTACTATGATTCGAGCATTCCCTGCCAATGGCTCACTATTTTTGGCCTATGAATACAGCAGGAAGTTGATGATGAGCCAGTTGGAAGCCTACTGAAGTGTCCTGGTGGGTCTGGATCCAAGCACAGGCATTTAAGAACTACTGTTCATCTCAGGGTTTCATGGAGTATGGTAACAATGTGGAATTACTTTCATTTATGGACGATTTTGCTCATCACCTCCCTTCTTGTACCCTACATCTTAAAACTTTATGGCAGAGCCTCTATTTTACATAATATAACTTGTACCCATGATTGTACTACAAGGGAAAACTTGCTACTTTTGTTGTCCTTGATGAAATAAACATCTGGCTGGTAGCGTTATACACTTAACTTGAAAGGTCAAATATACTTCTGCTAGGGCGTGATTTCTGCATAAAGCTACATAATGTACACATGCAGTTTGTGTGGTTATGCACTGACAGAAACACCATTTGCTCCGTGTTTCATTGCAAATAGAAATAGCAGAAACCCCACAGGTGACCATTTTCCACAAAAGTAGTTATAAGTGATTACAGCATCTGTTTTAGATGTAAGTGTATTTTTGTTTTTTTAAGTGTCCTGAACCTGTGTACTAAGAAGTTAAAGATTTTATAATGGAACTTGAGAACTAAAATATCTAGATTTTTAAGAGACTGTATCTGCACATTTGTATGGCTTCTAGATTCTTGATGAAATTTTAAGGTAGGTATCCTACATTTTTGCCCAGATGCAGCACTCTTAAAATAGTGCCATTCATTTTCTAGAAGGGTTCTGAATGTAGTCCGCAGTCTTGACTGGACTCCAGAGTGTGGTCCAGTTTTGCTGGCCTTTGGAAAGCAGCATGGCCCTCACCAGCTTCCCAAAGAGCTTCCCTGCCCTGGGCTACTAATTGAAGAAGAGGAACTGGGAATAGATGGGCTGTGCTTTGAGAAAGACCCATGTGGTCTCCAGCCATCTGGATCCTTTTGTCAGGTGGATTCCAGGGTGTTCTTTGGGCCTTTGAACGCTGTGATTTCCTTTGGACCATCCTGCCACCAGTCTGAAGCGGATCCAGGAAACAGAGAATGCCAAAGCCAAGAGAAGCCTTGTCTTTGTGTTTAGTGATTGAGTGGTAGAACTCAGTGAGTGAAAGTCTTCTTCAACAGATCTAGGAAGGGCTGAGAGCTTATACTTCCCAATGAGTAGAGGCTGTGGAGTCTCAACTGACCCATTCTAAAGTTTGCCTCTGAATCCATAAGTTCTTGAAGAAGCCTCACTTCAGTGTTGGAGCCTTCTTTGTTAGTGTGACAGGTTGCTCATGAATTTTAATTGTGCCTGTAGAGGAGATATGACTTTATAGAGCATTAGAACACAAAAAATGCAGTTTTATCAAGCGAGCTGATTATGTATGTTCCACATAAAAAGGAAAAAAAGCAAACAAACCCCATGGTCCTTCTGATCCTCATGGACCTGGGGTGGGCAGTTCTTCAGCCATGTTGTATAGGAGGCCATTCTTGGGGGTAACAATGGTCGACAAGAAATGTACTCATTACCTTACTCACGTAACTGTAACTTCTCTGTACAGAATCTTTACAACAAAATAAATTTTTTTTTTTTTTAAAAAAGAGGTCATTCTCACTGAGAAACTTAGCCTCATTGTTCTGTGGTGCTCCAAGACCAGTAGCATGCTCTCAGTAATATGTGTTCTTAACGCTGCCTGGAAAGCCAAAGCAAGTGTGCCAACCATGTTACTATGTCCTTGCTATGTCTGTCTGTGTTAGATTGTAAGAATGGGGAAAATCTCCAGTCTCAAGCTTTCTTTTATCACCCAGGATCTGGCAGCCCTTTGCCACAGTGCCAGGAATAGCAGGGTAAGGGAAGCATGCTGTTGCCACCCTGGAGAGAAGAGGATGTTGGATGTGCTTTGTTCTCTAGCCAGAGATGTTCTTTTGAGAATACCAACTTCCTTCCTTCCTTCACACCCTTCCTCCCTCCCTCCTTCCTCCCTTCCTTCCCCTTCCTTCCTTCCCCTTCCTTCCTTCCCCTTCCTTCCTTCCTTCCTTCCTTCTTTCCTTCCTTCCTTCCTTCCTTCCTTCCTTCCTTCCTTCCTTCCTTCCTTCCTTCCTTCCTTCCTTCCTTCCTTCCTTCTCATGCTGGTCCTGGAGCTTAATCTAAGAGCCTGGGCTCTGTCCCCAAGCTTTTTTGCTCAAGGTTATCACTTTATCACTTGAGCCACAGCTCTACCTACTTCCAGGTTTTGGGGCAGGAACTGGAGATAAAGAGTGTCATGGACTTTGATGCCCAGGCTGGCTTCAAATAGCTATCCTTAGATGTCACCCACCTGAATAGCTAGGATTACAGGATGAACCACTGGTACCTGATGAAAACCATTTTTATACTTTAATTTTCTCTTCATGCTGAATGTTCTATAGCTACAGAGTAGTGGTTCATCCAAACAGGCCAGGATTGAAACAAAGGCAGAAAATAGAACTGGCCTCCCACGGGGAAGAAATGACTGAGTGTCCTTGGTCTCTTTGCTCAGTGCCTGGAAGCTAATCCGTTAGTCCTGTTGGCGATAGGTCTTTTCACAGGCCGTCCAGTAAAGATTTAATTATCTGGGGCTGGGAAGGTGGCTCAGTAGTAGAGTGCTTGCCTTGCATGCATGAGGCCCTGGGTTTGATTCCTCTGCACCACATAAGGAAAAAAGAAAAAAGCCGCAAGTGGTGCTGTAGCTCAAGTGGTAGAGCACTAGCCTTGAGCTGAAGATCTGAGGGACAGCACCCAAGCCCAGAGTTCAGGCCCACGACCGGATCCCCCTTTCCCCCCCAAAAAAGATTTAATTATCTTAAGCAGTGCAAGTGAGGATGGGAAGCCTGTCAGAATTTTTGCTTTTATTGTATTTGCTTAATCTGTTTCAGTTTCACTCTTTGGTTATAATTGGTACCACTTCAGATCTGTATTCCAGACAAAAATATAACTTGTTTATAATATTTTGTTGAAGGATGTCTGAGTGCTCTATCATTATTTACCTAACATGAGGCTACAGTGAGTTTTGTTTTAGTACCATACGAGTACCAACAATCAGCCATGCTCAAGGTGATGGCTTTATATAACTGCAACAAGCATTTTTCAATAGTAATGTTGCAAAGGCAGTCTTGCTGTAGCCAAGTGCCAAAACAGAACTTTTTTGAGGGTAACCATCACCTTAAAATAGTGTGCCAGTGAAGGTACTTCAATCTATATTAAAGAGAAAGTGATGATGACTGTGTGTGTCCACAGGGTTAGCCAGTGTTCATAAATGTGTCTTTCCTTCACAGTGTTCCCAAGGCCTAGGTAAAGTTTGTTGTGAGCAGAGGCGGTGGATTTTCAGATAGGAAATCTAGATACTATTTCGTTGAACTCATCTTTGATGTTACACAAAAGCAGAAGTTATTGAGATTAATCCCCCCTTTTTTGGGGGGAGGGGGCGTCAGTTGTGGGGCCTGATCTCTGGGCCTGGGCGCTGTCCCTCAGCTCTTCAGCTCAAGGCTAGCCCTCTACCACTTGAGCCACAGTGCCACTTTTGGCTTTTTCTGCTTATGTGGTGCTGAGGAATAGAACTCAGGGCCTCATGCATGCAAGGCAAGCACTTTACCACTGCACCACCTTTCTTCCCAGCCCCTGAGATTAATTCTTATTTCTCAAAATCCTTTTGTCCTCCCTTGTCTGTGCGTCTGTAATCAAAGATGGTTTGTCATAAATGCCTCTTGTGTCACGAGTGCTGTCAAGGTGAGGGGTAAGAGTATAAAATCTCTCTCCCCTCTGGCTTTAAAACTTCCTGCCAATCTGATGTATGAATAGTTGTCAGTCAAGCAATCTGTCTTCTGATATCAGAAATGGCAAATGTAAAACAGAGCAAAGAAAAACACTTGTGTAAAAGCATGGGAGTACATATGCGGGTATTAGTAAGATCACAATTTTTAGATTGAAGTTTTAAGCTATTTCATAGTGCTTCCATGGGTCCCCACTGTTACTCTGTGTTCTGTGTTCACATAGTGTGTGAAGTATATGCTTTCAAGAGAGACATCCATGAAGCTGGGCACTGCTGATTGATGCCTATAATCCTAGCTATTCAGGAGGCTGACATCTGGAGGTTGGAGACTCAAAGCCAGCCAGGACAGACAGGTCCTCAAGTCTCTTATTTCCAATTAACCAGCAAATGGAAGCATGGCTCAAATGGTAGAGCACCAACTTGGAATGAGGTCCAGAGTTCAAGCCCCAGTGCTAGCACAAACAAAAACACAAGAGAAATGAGAAATACAAGATGGGTCAAAGTGGGGGTAAAGATTTTAGTGACACAGATCAAGATGCATCATACATGTATACTGCTTTTGCAATATATAACCTAAAATTAAGAGGAGTGGGTAGGGAGGGGTGGATGAGAATATTGGAAGGGCTGACATTAATCAGGATGCACCATATTAATTGCTTCAGTGAATGGCAACTCCTTTGTACAACTACATAAACATAATGAAAATATCCCCTCCAAAAGAAATTACTTTGAATATATATACATAATTTACTTAATGAGTTTCTCAAGAATATGCGCACAATATAAATCAGCAAGGGTTTGGCCACCAGTGTCTCAGAGTGCTCTGCACTGTAAGTCTAGATTATTTTGCATCAAAATACTTGTTCAAGGTAGAGTTCTATGGCAAAATCAGAGGGGTAAGTATTCCATGCTTTTGGTTTATGTGGATTGTCCAGTTCCTCTCCTGACAGATGCTCCTTCATATTATATGCACAGGCCTACAAGCAGCCAGAAAATCTTTGGGAACTTCTGGTGGGCACCTATGTCATCACTTCTGTTTCTCTGCTGGCACCAGACCAAGCTCCCAAGCCACCAACCATTGCACCTGTAGTCTTCCAGGCTCCGCTCACCTTTCAGGACCTTTAGGGCCTTGGTCTGTCTTTGCTGCAGTGGGAGGTTTCCCCTGTGGGACATGGAAGTCAAGCCAGGCCCAGGATCAGTGGGCTCCATAGCCTAAAATGCTGGCTAGCTTCCAACGCCACCTGTGGTCTCCTCCTCCAGTCTGAAAACCTCCTCCATGCTTCTCACCTTGCTGTGCCATGCCCACCACCACCCAGGAACGCTGCATCCTAGGCAGCAGGATAAGGCCTTCTTCTGGGCCCAGCAAGGTGGAACCCAGGCTTCTTGAGACTACCCTTGCCATCAAGTCATCGTGGCGGGGTGCAGGGATGCGGATTTCTGGCTGCCCCCTTGTCTACAGGACAAAGGTCGCCTATGGGAAGGTCCCCAAGGCCCTCCACTCAGTATCAGACCTGGGGCCAAAAGGCCTCAAGGGATCTGGGGAAGCAGGGCA